TGAAGTTGTCTTAGCATTTGCGTGAATCGCTCCAGACATCCGAAGTTTGGTCTGATTTCTCGAGTCCCGCATGGCTCACTGCGTCGAATGCCTTTGTGAAGGCCACAAAAGTGGTATCAGGGCTGTTCCACGATTTCTGGTCTTTTTCTTGAAGCCAGCAGACTGCAAAGTTCAGTTGCTATGTTCCACAGCCTTCCCAGAATCCGTGCTTAGTTTTCGGAGATAATCTTTCAGCTGCAAGTTCAACCGATTAAATAGGGCTCATACGAATATCTTACCAACAAGTATGGAGAGAGTGAATCTGTGGTGGTTGCCATGGCTTTGACAGTTCGTTCTTTTGATGTAAAATTGAAGAGTACTCGCGTCTTAAATGTTTTCTAGGGTTTGCCTTGTCTCCACATTGTCCGGAGTAGGAAAGTAAGGTTGTGTATGATTTGGGTACCACAGCACTTGCAAATTTTGGAATTGGTCCCGGCGCTCTTCCATCGGACAACTGTTGCATTGCCTTCACTGACTCCTGCGTTGAAAGGGGACGATAGATCTCAGTATTGGAATTTGATTAATAGCTTCTACGCGGATCGTGGGTGGGGGGTAGTTGAGTGCCTCCTAAAAGTGCGTGGCCCGGCACTGCAATATTTAAAACTTATTCAACAGCAGTATTGCGTTGCTTTGCCTGAGCACCCCCCTTCGGGTTAGGCTTTAGTGGCTGTAAATAAATTATTCGTTCACTGCGGCTAGTGTATCATTGGATTTCTTCTGCCTTACGATTTAACTAATCATTCTCTTCCTCTGCTTCGGTGTCAAACGTATGTGACCTCGCTCTTGTTGCTGGCATACATTTTGTGTGGACTTTTCTGAGAGCAGATTTCAGATTTCTTCAAACTAATCCTAGTGCTGTCAATGCGCAGCCTGTGACTTTCAGATTGATTGACTCTATGGCACTTTCTTCCAGGTCTTTTATTTGTTACAAATTGAAATTCATGCGATTGCTAAAATCTAATCGCCGGATCCAGATGCCATATGGGGCTTATCTTATGTTTTCTTTCCTTGTGGGAAGTCTATGGATTTTCAGTTGCAGTCTTAGCTTGTAGACGATAAAGGAAAATCTGTCTAGCAATGTGAGCTACAGATCCCCTTGGTCACGCCTCCTGGCAAACGCAGGTCAGTAGTTTTCAGCGACACGATCTAAGGTGTGCCAATGTTGTCCTCGCTAGGATTGGAAGGTCGAAGAGTGTGCCTATGATTATACAATTGTGTTTTGCCGCATGCCTACAGGAGAGGACCATTACTGTTGGAGCTCACCCTCTCATGGTGACCTATCACTCTCTCCCAGATAGTCTAGTCTGCGCTGACGCGCACCTTTCAGTCAAAAGGAAAAATTCGAAGATCGTGTAAACAGCAAAATTGATTGAATCCATTAATTTCGAGAGAGCTCATCAGTTGCTTCCTCTCGTTGCATAAAGTTAATAACGTAAGAGGAAATACAAATTGAATTCATACAGAAAAATCGGTACAAACAGCAAGGTCACAGGAAATGGCCAAGAGGCAATCAATAACGTAAGAAAGTTAAAACATCGTGGGCAGCAAGAAACGGAGAAAAAACGTCTAAGGCAAAAAGTTTGGGAAGGGGGATGTGTAAACAGGGAGCTGGTGTTACCACATGGTCCAGTTGTTTACAAAAGTCGGGTTTAAGCCGCCGTATGTAAGCTGCCTCCGTATCTGATGAAATATGTGGAGTCGGTGATTTAACACAGATTTGAGATTGTTTTTTTGTTCATTGAGCTGACTTGAGGTGCAAAATGCTTTTTACTAGAAAAGAGTCGCCGGGCAGCACAGTTTACGGGGGGCAAAACGGGGCGAAATCCAACCTTTGTGGATATCCAAGGAATTTCCTACGCTATTAAACGCTGCGGAAAAAGGCTTCTTGTTTGTGTATGTTGTACTATAAAAGAACATTCATAAAGAGTAGGAACTGTTTACTCGTATGTGTACTATAAATTAACATTCATAAAGAGGAGGAACTGTTTAATTATGTGTGTTCACAAGTACTCGGAAAGAGGTTTTGGGGTCCACATAATGGCTGGTATCTAGCAAATGTTCGGTAATCGATGAACGGGGAGTTCTGTTTTCCTGTTTCAGTAACCAGTTAGGTAAGTGCTCCTTGCCTTTCTTCGACATATTCGAAAGGAGGGCGTGTAGGTCTTCGCAGAATCTGCGTTTCACGTCGTTGGACTTGTTCAGTGGAGGGGAGAGGAAGTAGGCACTGACTGCATTGGCGAATTAATTCCCGCAGAGTGGCAGCTGCATGGTCATGGGACGATCGTTGATACCCGGTAGCAGGTTCGGTTTCAGGGCTTAATGGGGGACCATTGTGGACTCAAAACGGGAATGGTAGCAGACAAGTCATTATTGGAAATGTTTGTTTTGCTTTTTATTGTTAGACACAGCTCTGAACTGCAATACTGTTTATTTAATGGTTATTATAGTGGTTGTGCTCAACGTTATTTGAACCGACCTCTTAGCTCACTTAAACGCTAATTCTTGTAGGCCATGCCTTGCAATCGCTGGTTAGACTAAAATTAATAGTCCACTCGGTATTTTATTCGCGGACAACGAATACCGTCGAGCACATAATCCCTTTCATTTACTTCTGTGCCTGTGCATCCAACTCGGAGAGACTGAGTCGCGAATGTGCTCCTTTTGGGTCTAAGGAGTATGTGTGATCTAACCATATTAGCTGATTATCTTTTAATGAATCATCAAAAGGTGTCCCGACCGATTGTAGATCGAAACTGGGATATTCTCTGGGAGCAACATGCTGCGTAAGGAAAGAAGGATTAACCACGAGACGCTGCATTATCAGACGTCAACAACTGTTGCCAAGTATTCGTGTTCTTCACGGTACTGACTTATTCGCGTCAGTTGATAAAGTGCCTTGATCAAGTTTCTAAGGTGTGCAACCATCGTACATACGCAAAGATACCCAGAATGCCAGAAGACTAAACTGCCCGTTTCTTAATTATTAGTCGTCATCAGCCATCCAAAATCAACCCGGAGTTTTTCAACCACTAAGGTTCGAATCCACAACCAGTTGTTTAGAAGTCCAGCGTTCTAACCGTTGGGCCACAGGCCCGGTGTCTTCTGTGTTTCGATCGGGAATACTAACAATGGTAAATTGGCTCTAGAATTGTCCGTTGACTAAACACTTGATCAAGAGGAAACCTCTATAGTTCTTCGTCCACCTCCGGTGGCGATAAGACAGTTCATGAAAATGCTTACGCGATCCCCCTACCGTTACTGCGACGTTTCCGTGTAGTTTTTCTCTTAAAATAAGAATAAAGAACGACCCTGCTTCAGCTGTCACTCTGTGTCTTTTAACCTAAAATCAGACTGATTTCTTAAATGATATCTCAGCCGCTGCTGCACTGCTTTTCACTGCTCGCCCTCTATTAAGTTGCAGTTTTCACATCAAGCTCTTTTTAAAATATATGGAACGTGATATCGCGGATTTATTACGTGTTCTCTTTAAGTTGTCTGACAATGTAACGCCTGGCTCGTGTTTACTATCCCTTTAAATCGCCATGTCCTTCTTTTAGTATATTGGCCAACGCACGAAGCACAATCAGGCGGTAAACTACTTGGTTCGGGATCCAAAACATCGCGCAAAAGCCAAAGAGTTGGCCGTCACGGAGGGTCGTTTCCACGTCAACAAGCGTGATGTTGGCCGTAGGCTCACTCGCGAGGAGCTAAAAGAACGTGAGGACGAGGTCATTCGCTCAGTAATAGTTGAAACGGTTGATCTAAGGTTTGCTGAACTTTCGATTTCTAAACTTCTATTTTTTCATTGTTGCTTATTTCACAGTGGTGAGCTTAGCTTCCAAAGTCATCTTGTCCACCGATGGGAAATTGGTGTGATACCGTTTTGAAAGTGATCATTTTACCTTTATATCATCGTATGCGCATATCATTTTGCGCTCCGGATTACAGCAAATGCGCATGTGTTTACCAATTCGCACAAACATGTCTACTGAAACATAACTAGTAGTCTTCTTTGTTTACAGGGGAGACTGCGGCGTGCCAAGTATCCGAAATACGCTCCTTGTGCAGTTATTTATTTTTCCCTTCTGGTTGATGCGGCTTATTTTCTGGGCAATCCGGTGGATCATTCTCTTCTACATCCTTCGTCAACCGTATGGACCAGAGGAACAAGAATTTCTGACGCGGTGGAAGCTCGGTTTCAGTCAAGCGCGTTGGGAGAGCCTTGACGAAGATGCTAGGGCACAGTTTATGCAACTAGAGTTATGGATTCCTGCAAAATTTTCGGCAAGTTTATGGATTTATCGGATTTGGATAAGTAAGACTGCCGATACAAAAGTTAATGATAATCACTAGAGTTTAACATTATCACAGTGCGCGATTTTCCTTTGGTTTATCTCAATACTCCCGCGGTTCTTATTAATCAATACTATATTCACATTGTGACTTTAACAGCTACGCAGCTAAGCATCCTTTTCCCCTGATTGGTTTGTCATACTGCCGTCACAGATATTAGCTAAACACCCAAATATGTGTTTCGCCGGTACTGTGTCGCTGCATGGTGCAGCTGGAAGGAGTTCGGTTTATCAACCGGCCTCCCAGTATTCCCTGTGTGTGTGACATCCAAAGTGAAGTATATACCAAAACGTGTATGTAGAGCGACAGACAGCTCACTTATGAGCCGAACCTCTTCTAACTGCGTAATGCAGCGGCACAGCACCGTCGAAACACGCATGTGTTTAGCTTGTATCCACGTTGATAGAACGGGAAGTAAATAGGCGCTTAGGTACTACTGGGATGTGAATGTTGCACGGTAATTCCAATGAAGCTGGCGCATTTCACTCTCACTAGTTCTAGCAGCTTGCGGAGCGAAGCTGGTGTTTGTGTCGCTTTATATACTCCAAACTCACACCTCCATGGCTGAGGTAAATTTACAAAAACTGGACCTTATTGCTTAGCTCCTTTAGAGGCAGGGAGCAGATTAGAGCTTTCTTTGTTTAATCGTCTAGTTTTCGAGCATACATGTACAGTCATCACTAATGGAAGCAAAGAGATGGCTTCTAGAAAGTAGTCGTGAAGAAGGAGACACGATCACTAGAACAATAGCTTTATTTGCCTGACGTTTCGGCTTCCCATTCGAACAGTCGCAGAAAATGAATCGACAGCAGGGATGAAATCACACCAATTAGTTACTCGGGTACGGACCGACAAGCAGTTCTCTCATCAACCACGAGCCCCAGCTATAAACACGGGTACTTCCGAATATAATAGATGTGTGGATGGC